TTGGTAAGTTGTGATATTTTGGATAAAACAAAGATCAAACAAGACCGATTGTCAGAAGTGATTGTCTTGATAAGAAACCGCACTAACTCTTGAATATTTATTTGTCAAGTAATGTTTCTTAACAAAGAGAATCTTATATGTTAAGAGGTCAGTGGGAGTCTTAAAGATCTTGAAAAGTTTCAAGAACTAATTCTTGTTTCAAGAGTAAACCTATTATTAATCACTAGCACACGACTTGAGGTTTGTAACCTATCGTGTTGACATATTCTTGTTTCTATGCCAATCCAGTTAAAGTTGACTATGCATGTGAGTTCTATGAGTTCTAAACTATTTTCATAAGGAAAAGCACCTTGATCAGTGAATGTTCATTGCTCAATAAGGATGAGCTGCCTAACAACGTGGAAGAAATGGTAGGCCCTCGTGCTGCCAAGTGGCAAGAAATTTAGATTGAACAAGTTCAGTCCATATGAGTTTGAATTTGTCATAGACCTTGTCTTATGATAATGACAGACTCATGTGGATAGGAACATATACACCATAAAATCTAAGTTTGATAAGGTTTCTCTCCAATTCATGAAAATGATTGTGAGGAAACGCTTTCACTAAGTAGATTTTAAAGAGTTAGAATATGTGATATTTGCATTCTCAAATTCGAATATGATTATGGCATCCCTGTTCATAGTTCTAATTGTGAGAAATGGCAAATAGTTTGAACATTCAGAACTTATTGCTGTAAGTTCTGAATAGTTTTGACACACATATGAGCTTTCGAATAAAGGGTGTATGAGCTTAGATAAAGGCTTATCAAAGCATCTCGTGTCAGAAATCTGAACTTTGGTAAGAAAGTCAATAAGTATTGATTTCTAGAAGTCCAGCTGATTTCTGGATACATGTCAAAGTTAATGGGAGCATAAGTGTTTTGCTAGTAAGATAATAATTATTATGCTAGTGGGAGCATAATTATTATGGTAAGTGTTGCAAGTTAGGAATGATAATTATAGAAAACAAAGGTTTCAATTTGCAAAGTTGTATAGTTTGAAAAGTTGTTTTGCTATAATTAAGGGAGAGGAAATCATAATTCATTTCAAATCTAAAAGCTTACAATGTGAGATTTTTATCAAATTTAGTCAAGGATGTATATGAATGTTATGTTGAAAATATTAGACATAAGGAAATTCTATATATGGAAATGTTATAGCAAGAAACTGGTAAAGTATCAGGTCTTTATATAAGACATTATGAATTGTGTCCCATATGCTTAAAATATAGGATCGATTGCATGTGCTATAATATTCTCATGTTCTAATTTTCCAAATGCCTAGGGCATGAAGAGGGAAAAAGGACTAGAATTGGATATGACTAAAGTTATTAAACAATTGTCAAGGACGATCTGAGGTTCGCTAAGGATTGTTTGCTTAAGGACAGTTGGAAGTATAGGGATGGATGGACCATATTGATATAATTCTGAATAGATAGGATTCTATTAAGAATAGATAGTCATATGGAAATTATGGAAAGGTTTCCATAATGGGAGTTGGATATCAAGAATCTATGAGTAAGTTAGAAACTTTTATGCAAGAAGGATGTTCAAAGGAATGTGCTTTGAATGTGAGACTTCGTATCTATGGAATTGTCTTGTAAAAATCTCCAATGGAAAGTTTTGTAATTGGCAAAGTCTCTGTGACTTGTGTACATAGTCATTACAAAAGGATCACTGCATATAAGTTTAGAATCTAACAAATTACAGTAAGTGGAAAGGACTTGGTATTCTTACACTTGCGATAAGGATTTGGAATTGTGAAATGAGTGTCATTGGAAATGTTTACAATTGATCTATTTCCAAACTAAGGACCATAGATAAACATAGTGTGCATGCTTGGAGCATGGGATAACTATTGTTTTAATTCAAGTGTGAAGTTGATAAATCGAAACATTATACAATGAATAATGTGTAATCAATATGGTGATTAAATAAAAGGTGTTTTATTTATATTCAAAAGTTTTGAGAGCATATTGGATTCGATTATTCTTGTGTTTCACATTGCATGTTTTGACTTCCCGAATAACTAGTTGATTCAAACTATCCACAGTCGATCATACTTTGAAAGTAGGTATTGAGGCAAGATATAGCACAAGTTTGCTGCAGTATTCATGAGTACTTCTGGAATAAGATTCGATTAGTGGATTAAACCCACGCTCATCTGAATCACTTCATGGATTTTATCACGAGTAATTGTGAGACGATAATATCTTATATTCTTGAAACCAAGACATGTGAGTTGTAGTTTATAAGTCGGTTGCACATTGACATATGTAAACACACCAGTAACTTGGTGTTATAAAACATATTGTTGTGTGTGATTTGATGAGTAAGTACAAGCAAGAATTTGAGTCGAAGTCTATCCATTCCTTTTACCCAATGTGGGATAAAAGCGATATTTGTGGGCCCCTCGATGATTTAGTGATGACAACCCTAAGTGCTTGGCCAAGCCTGGACTGATTTGACTTGTTCAATTAGTCGGTCGTCATAAATCGAAAATCGGGAAACAACACATGAATAGAGAGAATGATTATAATCCATGTCTCAGTTTATACGATATCTAGAATGGCGGAATATATGATCCCTTATCTAATGGACGCGTTATCTGACTAGGTCAGAGTTCGACAGCGGCTTTTGAGAGCTACGATTGCTAGTCGGGATTTTGGAGTTGTACTTGAAATAATAGTTATTAGACTTATCCAAGTAGGAGACTGTTGGATTAGGTGTCTAAGCCCATAACTATAATTAGTATGTACTCGACCCGAGAGTAGCATGGTTCATTTGGGTTGCCTTCACCAGAACAATCTGATAGGATGGATATTTGAGAAAGAGGTTATTTTTGATTTATTAATATATTACAAGTATAATATATTAATTGTGAAATCATATTATTTAATTAGTATTGATCAAAAATTAATTTGTAATTAATTTACTGATCAAAAGAGACTGATTAAATTAACGAGGACTGATTATGTAAATCAGTGATATATATATATATATATATATATATATATATATATATATATATATATATATATATATATATATATATATATATATATAGTGTTTGGGCTATTGATCCATGTTGGGCTATGTTTTATGTAAGTATCCATGAAAAGTTAGCCCACATGAGATATGGATCATAACCCAAGTGTATGGATCAGGGTTTACCCATGACTCTTGGAATCCTACACTATGTATGAGTTATCCCTTAGCCAAAATCATACACCTATGTATTCTAGGAGAACCATAACCGATTTTGGAGTGTCCAATCTCTCTCTCAAAGTCCTCCTTTGTTCATGGTGTTTGTGAACCATTTGAGGCATCACACTAGAGGTGCTAAGCTCTTGAAAGTCCAAGAACTACAACTACAACTACAACTACATCAAGAGGTATTCATATAACTATTAGTTTTATATTATATATCCTCCATTGTATGCTAGTTATGTTGTATGCTTTGGAAAATTCAAATATCATGTATAATTAGAGAAAACATAGATCCAAAGCATCTAGGGTTGCATGTGCACCATAGGAGTGTTATAGTGCTTAAAACCCAACACTAGGTAGACATTGGACGACTGGAAATATGATAGTTCAAGGAGACATGAAGATCCATACTCTTTCACTTTTCAAACTCTACAGTGAACTTCATGCTCAAGAGTCCATGGTGTTAAAAGAATGTGTATACTTTGGTGGATCACTAGATTTAATGGCTCAAACTCCTCAGTATGCCATCAAAGCACCTTAGTATCCATACTCCGGAGAGTCATCATATCAACTTCCTGTTAGGATTAAAATCCTTAAAGATCTCTTAGATTCAGAACAAGTAAAAGCAAGAACACAACGATGATTCAAAGAATGCTGAATGATTAAGTGTCACGCCTCAGAAGAACTCTATGAAGAATTGCTACTGTATAGGCGTGAGTAGGGTTACAACGTAAATATCAGAGTTAACAAAAATATGATACATGCATGCATCTTAAATACTCTAACCCTAGAAATAAATACGAGTGGACATGCCCAACTCGTTAATACAAAATATTAAATTAAAAGCCCCATGACGCAACATCTAATACCCAACAATCTCCCCCTTTTCGTCAATTGAGGCACGAAACCATTAGCCTTGGATTCGCTTCTGTACTTCATAAACTTTTGGAATGATGTCAAAAATGATTTGACAAATCTCAATACACCATAAGACCATATCAGAGAAGCACTTGAGGTCATCCTTACTGTTGCCTTTGTATTTACTCACCAAATCCAAAATATACTCAAGAAAGGATGTAGTATATAAATGCTTATCAGAAAGGAAGAAGCATCCTTTGCGAAAGTCTGCACCAGTTCGTTCCCTAGCTGAATAGACCACGAACCATTCTCCACTGTAAATCTTCCCCAGCTTCATCTTTTCAAAGTCCTTAGTAGATTCCTTACGAACAGCAGAAGGCTTCTTTCGCAGCACAACATCAACCTCAACATCCATTTCCCCAATCTCTTGAATGTAAGACTTTATCATTAGCTTGAGATGAGACATGATATGTTCGTATTTTTCTTTGTCCTTCAGCAGCATGTTGTAAAGAACGAACCAATGATTGGGGTTAAGAAAAGGTAAGTCTGCGAGTGTGAATTCGTAGCACTGGCTGGCTGAACCTCTTGGCACTTTGAACTTCGCGTTCGGAAAGCTTTCAGTCTCGATTGGCCCTGGGACTTTCACAAAAGTTATTTTGCTTAAAGACCATGTTTCGTATTGCCGCTTCATATGCCTCAGATAAAAAGAGAACATCATATGATCAGCCCCGCTATCAGTGGATGGAGCGTTCGCGACTTTCACAAAAGAACGGAACCTAAAGGCTTTTGGAGTGATTGGTAGATCCAGTTGCGAGTCTCGTATGTTTTGAAGATCAAACGACACAACTGGCTCTAACCAATACTGGCTTGGTAAATCAACAGCATGACGTTGGATTCACTTCAAGCTCCACTTGGGAAATAAAAGCTTTTTGCTTTGAAGTGTAGCCTGATCCTCTTTCTCAGCTCTTTCCTCTTCATCTTCACTATTATCAACAATGGGCTCTTCACTGAACAATTTTTCCATGCCCTTAGGTTCTTGCTTGAAAATAGGTTTAACTGGAGCTTTGGGTTCTTCTTTTCTTGACCAACCATACACACCTTCTCCCCCTTGTTTCTGATTAAAGCTTTGATCCGAAACACCTTCTAGCCTGTGAAGCATTGCGAAGACTAGCCTTAACTTCCTTGCAAGATTCTTGCACATTATGATTGTGATTATTGAGTCCCTGGTCTAAATGATATCCAAGAGCATGCCGGTAACATCTGTAATACAGCTTCGCATGACAGCTCTCTCAGACAACAAATCATTGACCAGTTTTTCTGAAGTGTCCAGTTTAACACTCAACACCTTTACTTCTTCCATCTTGAGGGAAAGAGAGTCCTTTAGGTTACTCTCCTTTTCCAGTTCGTCTTGAAGCTTAAATTTGAGAGGAGATGGAGGTTTGAAATGCTTGATGGTCAGTTTTTAGACCAGTACGAATCTCTTGCAATTTCGTATTCTCAGATTTGAAGGGAGAACCCAGACTCTTCAGAGCTTTATTGGCTGCAATGGTATTTGAGTTGAAGGTGGTTTGTAAATTCTCCATGAAGGTAGTAGTGTCAGCAATTAGTTTATCGACTTTTTCGGTCGTAGTCTTGAAAACTTCAGCAGAATCAACAACTGCTTTATTCATATTTTCAGCATTGGCAGAATGCTCCTTCGTGATTCTGTCAAAGAGAGACTGAACTGATGCTTTAGAGTATGTGTCAGAAGAAGAAGCCTGGGAAGCAAGAAGCAGTTGATCAATATTTTCATGTAGGGACTGAAGTTTCCCTTTCGAAACAGGCACTTCATGTTCAGTCTCCGTCCGTCTCCGTCCGTATTTGGAAAGGACTATAAGTGAATCCACCAAGATCTTCATCTTCAGCATCAACAAAGATCATATCCGGGTTATCTCGGTTAAGAGGGGAAATAGGAGGTGAAACGTGGGTTGAGAAACCTGAAGTTTTAGCCCCTGTATTAGATACGTTGACTGAAACAAGGGGTGTGGTAGAGGTAGTAGGTGGAACTGTAGAATCAGTGAGCAGTGGGTAGAAAGAGGAAGGCTAGTTTGTTGTTGTGAAGAGACTGGTGGAGGGAATGGTGCAATGGTAATTGGGATAGAAGTGGTTTTAGGTGAAGGTGGTGGAGAAGGAATATAATCGGTCAAAGTTTGAGTTACCTCTAGATTTGATGTTTCTTCTGTGTTGCGAACGTTGTCATCCTCGTTGCGAACGTTATCATCGTTGCTGCGAACATGATTATCCTCCTTGATGTGAATGTCTGGCTGAGTCTCAGACTCCGAATCTTCTCTTGCACTTGGAGTGGGGGTCTTTCGCTTGCGAGCAGGCTGCTTTCGCCTTTTGGGAGCAGCAGCAGAAGTTCCCGTTGGTGCCTTTCTTTTGGAAGGAGGTTTCGTAGTTGCAGATGGGCCTTCCTTATCAGTGGTTTTCTTCTCTCCCTTCTTTGAACCTTTCCCCCGCCTGGGTTTGTCAGCCTCAGCTATGATAGCTTGCATTTCTTCAGTTAAAATATGAGGCCTGAATGGAGTTAATTTCCTGTACCCCTCCAAGATTTTTCTAGAAGTAGGAACATCTAGAAACATTACTTCTGGGATTGAACCAATGAAAGAAAACTTGGAAGAATCTAAAACGATAATCCCAGTAGTATGAAAGGTAGAGATTGATGCAATCAAGATGTCCTGCATCAGTGGGATATTGAGCTTGTCAATGGACCGGTGGATAATAAGGGTCCAAAAATATGCACATGAGATTTCACTGTGACGTGTGGTGGAGAGTATGCTCTGAACCACTTGAGCCCAAAGAACAGAGCTATAGTCGACATTCGAAGTAGTGTAAAGACCATAGAGAATCGCCATGAACAGCTTGCTTGCACAATCCGATCTAGTTACCCTTTCAGAAAAACCCTTAAACAGTAAGGTAAAGAGACCATTCCACTGAGGAGGCTGATTGGATTTCCTCAACTTTGAAACGGCGGTTAGGGTTTCTTAGTAACCTATTTGATAGAACATTTCGAGAAGAGCGGCACTAGTTACGAACTCAGGGTTGATCATATCATCTGTTTCAGGAAGCTGTAGGAGAGAACAAAATCGAGATTTAGTGATTGAAGTCTTACAGTCGTGGATCTCAAATGTGATCCTCTGTACTTCCTTAATGGAGTTTGCTGATGAGTAAGCCTTTGACAAGATTGAAAGCAGAATATTCTCCATTTTGGATAGTGCGATTGTGTGTGGAGAATACTTGAGGCATTCAATCATAGGAAGCATGAAGCTGTCGTATTTGACTAGGTCGAGATCGGTTGTTGGAACCTGAAAGTGAACCTCTAGCAATCCTAAGTCTGAATTCCGATGTAAATGTGTTCCGAAATAAATGGTCCGGAGTCAATTGTGAAGAGTGGTCCGGAATCTGTCCGGACCAGAACAGAAGAAGACGCGAAGCTGAAGACGTTCCGTAATGATTCTCATGTCCGGAATGGATGTTGATCTGGAGTAACAATATTTTGTCTTTGTACATTTATTAAGTTTGTCTTTGTATTGATATGAGATTTCATAGGACTTAGTCTTTTGTAATATGAGACAATCAGAATGTCAGAAACATTTCTATTGTCCAGTCCTATGTAAGTTTTCTAGTTAATTCGCTGTAACCTTCACTCCTATTTATAGGAGCTTTCAATGCAAAGTCAAGAACGGATCATTCACTCAAATTTTGGCATTTACTAAGTTATTTCAAACTTCCTTCAAACATTCTTCTTGTTCTTCACTTATTAGCTTTACCTTGATCATTCATTCTCAATCTTCATTTATGACTTGATCATTTGTTGAATACATTAAATTAGACTTGACTGCTCTTTCCAGGCTTGACTAGAACATTTATTAGTAAGCAGACATGGATCTTAAGCATTCACTCAAGGTTTGAGTTATCATACCTTGTCCCTGCACATTAGATCTATTTTGTTCTCACAATTGGTATCAGAGCTTGAGTGGTTGTCCTTTGAATCCATAAGATCAGATTATAGTTGGATTTGAAATTACCTTGGTATTTCAACCATTTCTGTGATAAGGATAATAGTTCTTCTATATACCACTTTAGCTTGAAGATATCTTAACTTCAGTGGCTGCTTCTAATCCTCAACAAATGATTTAAATGAAAATCACAAATAGTGTGGGTGGCCCTACACGTGCCCCATTACTAGTTGTGGAAGAACATGATCACTGGAAAGTTAGAATGGAAAGATTTTTTCTGGCCAAGGATAAAGGTGAAGAAATTTGGAGATCCGTCAAAGAAGGTCCACATGTTCCTGTAAGAACATTAGTAAGAGATGCAGCTGCTCAACTCATGCGTGAAGATGAAACTCGCCCAGCTCCTCTAAATGCAGATGATATTGAGAAGCTGCATGCTGATCAAGTTGCTTTCTCAGAAATGGTGTTTGGTGTTCCTCCCTTATTCTTCGAGCACATCAAGTTGTGCAAATCAGCCAAAGATATTTGGGACACTCTTTAGGACCTGATTGAAGGTTAAAAAAATATGAAAGACAAGCGCCTCACCTCAGTTGTCAACGACTTTGATACCTCCACTACCACTCCTGGTGAATCAGTGGCCTCAGTCTCCAACAGTTACAGAATTGTGGTCAACAACATGACTGCTCATGGGATTTTCCGAACTCCTTTGGAGTACAATCTCAAATTCATAAACAGTCTGGCAAAGGATGGGGAAATGTGAAATCTTGTCTCCAAAGCAATGGTTCCTTACAAAAGTTAAACTCTATCAACTTTTTGATGAACTTCAAGGACACGAGTCTAATGTTGCTCAAACCATAAAGGAACTCTCCGGAGGTCCTCTTGCCCTTGTCAGTTCTTTCGAATCAACCACTCCGAACTCATCTACTTTGGATCCCTTTAAACCCATTGTTCCTTCTGTTTAAACATCCACACCCATCTTACCCACACAAATCTATCCTGTTGATGATTCCTAAGCCATGGACTCTGAACTCCGTTTCAAACAGGAGTTTTCTCTACTCTTAATGAAATACAAACGTCCGTTCAATCCCTCTTACAAACCATACCAAAACAGATTCCACGCTCCTCACCACAACAATCCTCAGCGATACTCAGCTCCGGAACCTAAACCAACTTCGGGAAACTCTCCCACTGTAGTTGAATTGTATATGAGAAATCGATTAAGAACAAGATCAGTCAATGTAATGAACTCAGAAAGTAAATAAGACTTTGAAGTTTCTATTACTCTCAATAAGCTTGATTACAAAAGTAGACAATGAAATCTGGAAAAACTCTTAGTCTAAACCAAAGCTTAGTCCCTATTTATAGGAAACATGAGAGTACAAAAAATACTAAGTCTGGAACCATTACGCTTCGTACAAAAGTGACTTCGTACAAAAGCTAGTGATCCTCCTAAACTCTGTTTCGCTTCTTCCATTATCTCAGACACTTCACTTTCGTGTGTCTTCAGCTAATTGTAAACATCATTCAAAGAAGATGTATCAAAGCTCTGTTGATTTTTGATCATCATACTAACACTCCTCCACTCCTTCCTAAGTCCCATAACAAAAGTAAGATTATACTCCATTAGAGACCTTGTGATTCCATAGCGATTGCATCTGTAGATGAACTCATTTAGACGATCATAGTAAAATTCAATTGTTTCAGTTTCTTTCTGTTTGAACTCTTTCAGCTCAACTAAACATTGCTTAGCATAATTGATCTTAGTCTTCTCGCTTCCTTGATACTTTTTGTTGAGAGTATTCCAGATATCCTTAGCAGTTTTACAACCACGAATGTAGTTATAAACAACAGGTGGCAAAGCACCTCTTAATTCTCTCATACAACGCTTTTCGTGTTTCTCCAGTCTTGTTTGTTGTTCTCCAACAGCAGAAGTAGTTCCAAATGAACCAATATTTGAACATTCGGTGGAGGTTGAACTGTTCCATTGATGCAATTCCACAACTCTTCGTCCAGACCATTCAAGTAGTCTTCCATACGATCGGCCCACTGATCATAGTATTCTGGAATTAGCATTGGAATTTTGGTTGATGATCCGAGCATATGAGAATAAGAAATCATTGTGTTCATGTTGAAGTTCGCCATTGATGAACACATGAGAAAAAACAAATTCAGAGATCACACAAAACTTGATGAATTTGATATTTGA